ACTTCGACCCCCTGCGCAACGAGTACTTCTTCGACCGTAACCGCCCCAGTTTTGACGCCATCCTCTACTACTACCAGTCGGGTGGGCGCATCCGGAGACCAGTCAATGTCCCCATTGACATCTTCTCCGAGGAGATCCGCTTCTACCAGCTTGGGGAGGAGGCCATGGAGAAGTTCCGGGAGGATGAGGGGTTCATTCGGGAGGAGCAGAGGCCGCTTCCCGATAAGGAGTTTCAGCGCCAAGTGTGGCTCCTCTTTGAGTATCCCGAGAGCTCTGGGCCAGCCCGAGGCATTGCCATTGTCTCTGTCCTGGTCATCCTTATCTCTATTGTCATCTTCTGTCTGGAGACCCTGCCAGAATTCAGGGATGACCACGACTATGAGGGAACTGGGGGGACCTTTGGGATGGGTGGTGGTCCTCTCCCACCTGATGTATTCACCAACTCCTCGTCCCCGACTGCTTCCATGGTGTCATCCTTCACCGACCCTTTCTTTGTGGTGGAGACTTTGTGCATCATCTGGTTCTCCTTTGAGCTTCTGGTTCGTTTCTTTGCCTGCCCTAGCAAGGCCACCTTCTCCAAGAACATCATGAACATCATTGACATTGTGGCCATCATTCCCTACTTTATCACGCTGGGCACCGAGCTGGCTGAGAGGCAGGGCAACGGCCAGCAAGCCATGCTCTCTGCGAACACAGTCTGCCGTATCTTCAAGCTGTCCCGGCACTCCAAGGGGCTGCAGATCCTGGGGCAGACCCTCAAGGCCAGCATGCGGGAGCTGGGCTTGCTCATCTTCTTCCTCTTCATCGGCGTCATCCTCTTCTCCAGCGCCGTCTACTTCGCAGAAGCCGATGACCCCAGTTCAGGTTTCAGTAGCATCCCCGATGCCTTCTGGTGGGCTGTGGTGACCATGACCACAGTGGGCTATGGGGACATGCACCCCATCACCATCGGGGGCAAGATTGTGGGGTCTCTCTGTGCCATTGCGGGGGTACTGACCATCGCCCTTCCCGTGCCTGTCATAGTCTCCAATTTCAACTACTTCTACCACCGGGAGACAGAAGGTGAGGAGCAAGCCCAGTACATGCACGTCGGGAGCTGCCAGCACCTCTCCTCCAGCGAGGAGATGAGGAAGGCTCGCAGCAATTCCACCCTCAGCAAGTCCGAGTACATGGTGATCGAGGAAGGGGGGATCAACCACAGTGCATTCAAACAGGCTGCCTTTAAAACAGGCAACTGCACAACCACGAACAATCCCAACTGTGTGAACATCAAAAAGATCTTTACGGATGTTTAAAAAACAACACCCCACCCCCCTCCCCCCCGCAACCAAACCCAACCAAACAGCAACAAAATCTGAGGATGAGGTAAAAAATCAAACCAACAATAATAATGCAAAGTGACTGTGTCCTCGGTGTTGTGTGGAACATGCACCATCGTCGGTCTCTGTGTGCCCTCGGGTTTAGACGTTTATTTTTTTAGCTTCTTCCTTTCTAAAGAGCCAAATAAAGGATTTCAGATTCTGCAGAGAACAACGCAAAGGTAATGAGAAGGAAGATGAAGACAAAACCCACTTACTGCCGAAACAAGTGGTTGTTCTGCAACGTGTTGCAGGGCTGCTTTTGTTTTCTTGCCTTTGGGGACCTCTCGCTTTGCTCCTGAATTTTCCCCTCTCTTTCC